GCCTGGACCTTAATCCTGAGATCATAGATGTGAAACAACATGTGTAACCTTCTAACCTTCATGTTGAGAATGGGATCTTGCTAATTTTTTACCTGGATTGGCTCTCAACTATGATCCTCAGATCTCAACCTCCTAAGTAGCTAGGATTACAGGTGTGAGCCACTGTACCCAACTACTTGTTATGTCATTTGCTCCACTTTTGGGGAGATTTCCCTAGCTTTATTTGTAGTATTCACTAGAGATGGCACATCTAACATTCTGCCATGGTGGGACTTTGACCCTGGGTCTAGCAGATTTTTAGGTTTCTAAAATGAGATCTGAACTAGATTCTAGAACCTGCTTTTCTCTTCACTGTCTTCCTTTACCCGTCCACTTTCTATTCTTTGTTGAGACTTAGTGGCATAAATAACTCTGCTATAGACTAGACTGTAAGACAGAAACAAGTACAACTCCATGACATTTATGGAAAGGAAGAGAAGAAGTTGACATTGCTGTATGAAGTTATGTGTCTCAAAGTAAGCTGTGTTTGTCCTCCCTGCTTAACTATAACCACGAATAATGAGTTACTACTCCATAGCCAGTGCGTGTGAGCAAAGAAAGCTTCAGGAATGCAGTCATTTGTCTTTCACCCAGTTGCAATGTAGTTATTAGAGTCATTTTTCTGGTGTGCCCTGATGTCTTGTTAACAAGTTGCTCTATAAGTTTTCTGTGACTACAGTAACAAATTACCACAAACTAGGAGTTAATTAGATGGTGTAAAACCAACAAAAATATGCTACCACAAGTTCTGGAGGCCAGAAGTCCAAAATTTGTCCCTCCCTCTTCCTCCTCTCCTTTTCTCCCTCTCTCCTTCCCCCCTCATCTCACATTTATTTATTTATGCATTTATTTATGTATTCATTTAGTTAGTTGTGGGGCTTGAACTTAGGGCCTGGGCACTGTCCCTGAGTAAAGAACCACAATGCCACATCCAGTTTTCTAATGGAGATGAGTCTCAAGGACTTTCCTGACTGGGCTGACTTTGAACCATGATCTTCAGGTCTAAGCCTCCTGAGTCTCTAGGATTACAGGCGTGAGCTACCAGTGCCCAACTCATCCTTATTTTTTTTTTTTTTTGGTTGGTCGTGGGGCTTGACCTCTAGGTCTGGGTGCTGAGTCCCTGAGCTCTTCAGCTCAAGGCTAATACTCTGTCCCTTGAGCCACAGTGCCATGTCTGGTTTTCTGGTGGTTAATTGGAGGTCAGAGTCTCACAGACTTTCCTGCCCAGGTTGGCTTTGAACTGTGATCCTCAGATCTCAGCCTCCTGAGTAGCTAGGATTACAGGCATTTGCCAGTGGCACTCGGCTCACATCCTTATCTTTAAGACAGGGTCTTCTGTGTAGCCTGGGAGGCCCAGGCTATTCTCAAACTTTTTGTTACTCCTGCCCCAGCTTCCTAAGTGCTGGGATTATGGGCAGGGGCCATTATGTTTGGCTCCAAAGTCAGTTTCAGTAAGCCTAAAGGAAGCATGAAGGTCAAGACTGTGTTCCCTTCAGATGGATCTCCTGAGAGTTTGTTCTTTGTTTTGTCTAACCTCTGGTGGCTACCAGCATTCCTTGACTTGTGGTTTAGCATCTTTACCTCACTGGTCATGTTATCTCCTCCTCTGGTATGTGCACAGTCTACCTCAGTGTCTTTTCTAACTAAGTGGTATTTAGGGCCCACCTGGACATGCTAGAATAACCTAACACAGAATTCTTAATTTAGTTATAACTGCAAAGAACGTTTTTTCCAAATCAAGTAACTTGTACAGTTCCAGGAGAGTAGAACTTGGTATCTTTGGGTAGTTGTTATTTAGCCTGCTTACTATTGTTATTGCTGTCCTTACGGTCTTCCTTTGGTTGGTCTAATACCAAACAGATAATGACAGAGTTATTTTTGCTGCTTTTTGGACTTTTACTGTTCATGGATTTTCTAATTTAATATATTGTCCCCAAATAAAAGTGTTTTCTTCTGATGTCTTTGCTTTTATGTTTTGGTGACATTGGGTCTGGACATGGACATGTTGGGACAGAATCTGTAGGTACATAGATGTCACAAGAGGCCAACCTTCCTAAGGTGTACTTTGCCTGCCACATCACCTGAGACAGTATCTCAGGGACTGGAGCATGAAGCAGAAAGACAGCAAAGAGTACAACCTGAACGCCAGTTTCCTAAGAGGATTCCAGAAGCCCTATCCAACAACAGCTTAGTTTTTGTTTGTCCGACTGGATTGCGTGACCACAGGTATCCAGGAGGCCGGGAATATTTTGAACTGGCTCTCAACTATAACATAGCGTTATTACTGTTCAGAAAGAGATGACTGTGGAGTCAGCAGTACACAGTCTGCACAGAAGGTAATAGGGACAAGGGCCACATCTCCATCTCCATCTGCAACAGAAAGCAGACTTCTATGTGTATGGTTGACATCATCTGCCTTTCTTCTTTGGTACTGGGATGTGTTCAGTGTCTGTAATGATAGACATTGGGCTGGCCCTGACTCCATGCCATGCATAGTGTGATGTTTCTGACAATGACAGGGCCTGTATACAACGGCCCATATCTTGTAGCCTGGGATATGTAATCAGACTGTACCCCTCCACCACCCCCCCCCCCCCCATCAAGCAACACACAACTGTGTTAACCCTGTTAACTGCTTTGTATAAGTTACTTACATTATCTCATTTGATCTGCTATTGTGGAAGTTATTTTTTTGTTGTTAATTTGACAAGATACCTTGAGAGAAACAACTTAAGGAGGAAGAGAGTTATTTTGGCCCTTGGTTTCAGAGGTTCCATTTCATGGTCTGTTGGCTCCCTTACTTTGGGTAGGTAGGGACTGGGACAAGATACCTCCTTCAGAGATAGGTATGGCCCTCCCCTCTCCCCTGGGACCTACTTCCTCCAGCCAGGCTTTTCCTTCTAATGGCCCATTCATTGTAAACACAGCAGCAGAAATATCCATTGATAAAGTTACTGTCCTCAAATCCCTATCACTTCTCTGTGACTGTGGATCCACCAGCTGAGACCAAGCCTTTGACACATGAATCCCTTAGGGAACACTTCCTACTCAAGCCCTAACAGCCCTATTAACCTTGTGGAGATGAGAGTCCCACGTTAGAAGTGACAGCAATCTCATTTCATAGGTGTGGCAACAGGATCCTTGAGAATGGATGTTATTATTTCCTAAACTTGAAGGGGCTGCTTAATCAGATCCATGCATTCTAGTTCTGTGTCTGGACCTCGATTAATGCTTTGAATATTGTGTGTGTGTACATGGGGCACAGCAAAGCCACGGGAAGGCATGACTTTTAGTCAGGTCATCTTGGGTTACAGTCCCCCTTTGGCCAGTTACAGTTTCTTTATGTGATGTAGATGAGCTACCATGCTGTCTGAGCTTCAGTTTTTGTCATTTTTGAAATGGGATGTTACATCACTCTTGATAGGTTTTGTGAGGATTAGAGGAGAATGTAGGTAATAACTGTTATCATTTTCACCATTGTGGTTTAACAGGTTTATTCGGAACAAATTAATAATATCAGAGAAACCACTTTTTTCCCACCTTAGTGATTGGTTGTAATCTCTGTCTTTTGTGCTAGAATCTTTAGTTTTCTGACAATGGGGTTGGGAGGAACCAATCTTTTCATCAGTTTTACAGTTTGATGACAGGGATGAACTATTTTATCTCCTGTATTTTCTATAGCTGCCATGACTGGTTGTCACAACTTGGTGACTTAAAAGAACACACAGTTTATTATCTCAACAGTTTGGGTCAAGTTCCCTGGAAATGGAAGGAGAGAAAGAGGGAGGGACCAATACAGGAAGAGGGAAGAATAGGAAGGAGGAGAGGGAAGAAAGGAGGAAAGAAGGAATAAACCAATTTGGTAGGGTAGAAGTCTGCCACAGATTTCAGGGCTGAAGCCTTTCTGCGTTCCTCTTTGTACCTAAGGGTTTGTCCTTTTCTCTGTCTTTTTCAGTTTCTGGAGGCTTTGAACAGTTTTCGCTGTTACTTTTTATTGCAGTCATAGTTTCCTAAGTGACACACCTTGTCTCTAGTTATTTGTCAGCCAAACAGAGGTGCCAAAGCCTCACCATGTTTGTGTTCTAGGCCCATTACATCCAGGTGCTAGTGATTGTGTGCATGGCTGACTGAAGAACTGCTACTCTACATAATGAAAGAATCTTTAAAATGTTACTTATTTTTTCCAGTATCTGATGGGGAGTGACTGATTAATGGGTCTTTTTACATACTCGAAAATAATTTGGTGAAATAAAATTTCATTATGACCATGACAACTATTCAACCTAAGGGATAATTAATTTTTTTCTTCTTTGATATAAAGTTTAGCTGTTTGTAGTATGTAATGTGTGTGTGTGTAGGTTGATCCTAGGACTTTGCGCATACTAGGTAAGCAGTTTACCTCTAAATTATGCCCTTTTTACCTTTTGAAGAGAAGTTTTAAAAAGGGCCCATTTCTATATTTTTTTCAAAATTTTTAGTTTTTTTTTTTTTTGCAAATAAAGCTTGCAATAACTGTTTCCTACATTTAACATTCTTTAAAATTAATGCCAGGCACAGGTGGCTCATGCTTGTAATCCTAACTACTCGGGGCTGAGATCTGAGGATCTTGGTTCAAAGCCAGCCTGGGCAGGAAAGTCTGTGAGCCTCGTCTCTCCAATTAACCACCAGAAAACTGGAAGCGGTGCTGTGGCTGAAGTGGTAGAGCACTAGCTTTGAGCTTTGAGCTGAGGGATAGCGCCCAGGCCCAGAGTTCAAGACTCCACAACCAAAAACAAAAAGAAAACAAAGGAAAAAAAATTTTTTTTTCTAATTAAGAGTGTTGCTGTATAGCTCAAGTGATAATTATTTGGCTAGCAAGTATTAGGCCCTGAGTTCAAACCCCAGCACCAACCATACCACCTCCAAAAGAAACATTTCTAGTTAAAGTGGCTTGATACTAATTTTCTTGTTTGTTCTTCTAGGAATGTTTTAAAGGGAGTTGGGCCACTCACAAGTTACTACATAAGAAAGCAAGTAAGTAAAACACTTACCTTTAGACACTTTGTCTTAGAAGTGACTTTGTACCAGGAGATGGGAATTCTCTATGTTCTGAATGTCTATGTTTGAATGTTTGTTTACCTATCGTGAAGAATAAAGGGGAATTCTAGCATTAATGCTAGAATAGTCTGTAGAATAGGTAACCATGACTAAAATTTTGTAGTAATATAGGTTAATCGTATTTCACGTAGGTAGCATGAAACATGAGTAGTGGTTGACAAGTATCCATAGTCTTTTTACCCTCTTGTCTTTGTTGGAAGTATTACCATATCATAGGCTGAAGACACATGAACTCTGACTCACTTAGACAGATTCCTTTTGCATTTGCTTAGTTTCAGTTCACACTGCCTTTTCTACTCAAGGTTTATTATAGTCAGGCTTCTGTGTTTTATGATTCTACATCTGTGAATACCATAGCCACAGATTCATGCAACTGTGTTTGAAAACGGGTTTTTATCTCTACTGAGTGGGTACAAACTTTTTCTTGTCCTTGTTTCCTAGACCATACAGAATACCCACAGTTCCCCTAGACCTTACATGATTTTAGGGACTACACATAATCTGGAAATGAAATGTGTGGGAAAGATGTACATAAGTGCCTGCAAATGCTTGGGTTTACAAGGGAGGTCTTGGTGCCAGTTTCCTGGGGTACTATGGGATGAATGTACTTTCTTCTAGGATCTTCAGGTTATTTCTTGCAGTGTAATGTTTGGTTTTCTTTTTTGAAGTTATTTTGTGTATACCACAAGATGAAGCTATCAGCCTCTTGTTAGTGTGGCTGACTTACCACGGCTTGTTGTTAGTCACTTGGAAACTTGACAAGGGCTTTCCATGCTGTCTGATGGGTGGAGATTTGGCAAGTAGCATAGGGTTTTTGGTTACTGACCTTGTATTCATCTTTGTATGTCCCTGTTTTAAAAAAGGTGCGTTTTCTGTGGAGGTATAAAGTGACACCTGTGTGTGATAGCAATGCTCAGTACAGAGGAGGAGTAGTTAGAGCAAAGGAATGATTTAAGTGGAACTTGTCAAAGCATAAAAGATAAAATTTTGATTTCTCACTGCAAATTCCAGGGATAGGTTTTCAAGAGAGTATTTAACATTATTCACTCTTCCTTCACATGGTAATTTCTTTTTACCTGGGACAGCCTTGAACCTCCATCTTCCAGGCTACACTTCCACTTACCTGGAATTAACAGGTGATAACCAGCATCTATGCCAAGCTGGATTCTTCTATGTAAAGACCTAGCTTACTAGTTATATTTTACTTTGTAGATGAGAGGTACACAGTGTGCTGACATAATGTACCATAGAGGATCTGTTCTATGTGAAAGGATTATTAGTGCATTTCAGTAAATATAGTATTAATTATTAATAGTTAACATGGTAACTTGTGTATTTGTTCCCTTGAGTTTTCTACTCATTAAGTGACTTAGAACGAATTGTTCTTTCCTTTTTGTTTCTTTGCTGCTCTTCCTGGTTTTTCCTTCTAAAAACAAGGCACACGGCAGCCATAAAATTATCAAAACAGTTTGAAATATTGACTGAAAAGTCACTAGTCAGTTAAGTGGAAATAGTATTTTTTAAGATTGCTTTGGGAGAGCTTTGTTTGTTTTTTTGTTTTTGGTTGTTTTTTTTTTTGAGACACAGACTTAGTATATAGCCCAGACTGGACTTGGATTCACTATTTTTCTGCCCCATTTCTCAACTGCTACGATTGCAGCCATGTGCCCTCCACATTGGCTCAAGCTCTTTTAATAAAAGCGTAATTTATCTGTCATGGAGACCTAGGTCTGTAACCACAGCACTTGAGAAGCAGAAGGATTGCTAGCCAGGGCTCCATAGTGAGACCCCAAAGATAAACAAAAAACTTAACTATTTATTGACAATTTCTGTTAGATAGGTTTTGGTAGGGCTCACATTTCAGTTTGCTTATGTATTTGTGTGTATATCTGTTTTTTTTTTTTTTTGTTTGTTTGTTTGTTTTTTGGTCCAGTTGTGGGGCCTGAACTCTGGGCCTGGACGCTGTCCCTCAGCTCTTCAGCTCAAGGCTAGCGCTCTACCACTTGAGCCACAGCGTCACTTCCGGCTTTTTTCTTTTTGCTTATGTGGTGCTGAGGAATGGAACCCAGGGCCTCATGCATGCAAGGCAAGCGCTCTACCACTGAGCCACCTTCCCAGCCCTTGTGTGTATATCTGTATTTTAAAGACAGGGGCTTGCTATGAGCTATGGATCTAAGCCTCTGAATGCTGAGATTTTAGGCATGTGCCACCATGCCTGGCTTTATGTTTGGTATTTTAAAGTGAACTTCCAGCTTGGTCCTAGTGGCTTACACCTGTAATCCTAGCTACTCAGGATGCCGAGATCTGCAGCCAATCTAGTTGTTCATATCTGAGAGACTTCTGGTTAATTGAAAAGTCTCAGATTAATCTCTAACCAGGAAAAAGTTGGAATTAGAGGTGTGGCTCAAGTGGTAGACTGCCAAATAGGAACAAAAAAACTGAGCAAGACTGTGAGGTTCCCTGGAGTTCAAAAGGTTGTGAACACAGCAGTGTGACTCTGGTTATGGTGGAGGTTTGCTAGAGTTTTGTACTGGGTGTTCTGACTTCTTTTTTAACTGAGTAAGCACTAAAGGGTACTACTGTACGGAAACTTGACTCTGAAGTATACTCCTTTCTCTTCTCCCTGCTTCTCCCTGTGCCCATCTGTCCTCTCACAGAAGATGAAAAGGCCAAGAGAGAGGTATCCTCCTGGACTGTTGAAGGGGACATTAACACAGACCCATGGACAGGCTACCGTTATACTGGCAAACTCAGACCACATTACCCACTGGTGAGTAAATAAGGTAAAAGAATTTAACCTTTTCAGTGTTCATTTCCTGAGAGTGGTGCTTGTAATTTGTATTTCAGTAATGAACCATATTAACAGGATTTTATTCACAAAAGAACTTGCATTCCAGCTCTTTAGCTCTGATGGTGCAGTACTTGAAAGTTTAGTTGGGTAATTAGCAGTCATGGGTGAAATGGCTAGTTTTACATGAAAAGAGTAAAACCTTAAAAAAAGAGAATGGGTCAGGTGGAATAGATCTTTTCTGGTTGTCATGGTGGTAGTGTATATTAACACTTCTTTCAGAATTTTTTCTTTTTTTAAGTAAATGGCTTTTCTGCCATTCCTAGCCCTTCCTGAGTTCTTGGCAGATAGGACTCAAAGGGACGTGTGTGTGTGTGTGTGTGTGTGTGTGTGTGTGTGTGTGTGTGTGTGTGAGAGAGAGAGAGAGAGAGAGAGAGAGAGAGAGAGAGAGACTGGGGTTGAATTCAAAGCCTTGAATTAGGCAATGCTCTAGTCTTTTTTTTTTTTAGTAAAATGTGCAAAGAGGTTTTATTGTGATTTTCAGCTCATGTATATATTTGTCAAGCAGTTTATTTTGGGAGGGCAATATTGAGATGTGAACTTGGGGCCTCACAGTTGCTAGATAAACACTCTACCACTTGTGCTGCACCCCTATCCATTTTTGCTTTAGTTGTTTTTCAGATAGGATCTTGTTTTTGCCAGCTTTGGATCTCAATCTTCCTATCTCTGCTTTCTGAGTAGCTAGGATTACAGATGTGCTCCACCAGGCAGGACTTGTTCTTTTGAGATAGGATCTTATCACTCCCCTGTCCATCCCCCCCCCCCCCCCCCCAGTTTTTTTTGTGGTACTGGGGTTTGAATTGAAGAGAGTGCATTCTGCTGACACACATGCCTTCTGCCTAACACATGTACATTCTGAATGACACAGTCATCATCCTGCCACTTGAGATACACCCCTAGTCCTTTCTGTGCTGTTTTTCAAATAGAGTTGTGAAGTTTTGACTGGGCCATCCTGGACCATTATTCTCCCATTTACACTTCCTGTATAGTTGGGGTAATAGTCATGTACCACCACATTCCAGCTTTTATTGGTTGAGATGGGTTAGCTTAAACTTCTAAAAAACCCAGGCTGCCCTCAAACTCCAGTCCTCCCAATCTCCCCTGCCCATGTAGTTAGGATTACAGATTTAAGCCACTGCAGTTGGCTTTTCTCTGGCTTTCACTGTATAACCAAAGCTCATCTTGAGGTCAACAGTCATCCTGATCCCGCCTCCCCAAAGGCTTGGGTTACAGGCGTGAGCCATAATACCTGGCTTAAGAGTTTTAACACAGGAATTCATTTACATTGAAATTGGTTATCCTTAAAAATTTAAATTATTTTTCTGATGTCTGTCCTTCCTTCCTCCTTCCCTCCCTCCTTCCTTCTTTCCTTCCTTTTCTCTCTTTCTTTTCCTTTTCTCTCTCTCTTTGCTTTTCTTTTCTTTTGTTGGTTGTGGGGCTCTGGGCTTGGTCACTGTCCCTCAGCTCTTCAGCTCAAGGTTAGCACTCTACCACTTGAGTCACAGCGCTACTTCCGGCTTTTTCTGCTTATGTGGTGCTGAGGAATCAAACCCAGGGCCTCATGCATGCAAGGCAAGAACTCTACCACTGAGCCACCTTCCCAGCCCTCTCTTTTTTATGTGTATAGATCTTTTAAACATATGAGTAACTCCCTTTATGCTTCCCTTCCAGAGATAAGGAAAATGTTGGGGAATTTATACATTGGTACAATATTTTATTATTGTCAGGGTACCTGTTTCGAACAACAGAGGCATGTTGTGGGCTATATACAATCTTTTTTTTTTTTTAAATCAGTCATGGGACTTGAGTTCAAGACCTGAGCATTGTCCTTGAGCTCTTTCACTTAAGGTTAGTGCTCTACTACTTTGAGTCAAAGCTCTAGTTCCAATTCTCTGGTGGTTAAGATAAGAGTCTCTTGGACTTTCTGACCTGGGCAGGCTTTGAATAGCGATCCTCAGATAGCAGCCTCCTGAGTAGCTAGGGTTATAGGTGTGAACCATCAGTTTACAGCTAGTTACAGTCTTAAATCAGTGATGGCCTTAACTGTTCTTTTTTTAAATTGTGAAAATACAGTTAGAAGATAATGAGTCTATTTCTTATCAAGCATTGTTGCCTCCTCCCTTGTTTCCCCTTTCTATCTTAAATGTGAAGGGGTGGCATTAATACTAAGAAAGTAATACTTAGGCTTAATGTGATAGATAAAGGATATCTGAGTTGTCTGTGAACACTTTTCCTATATAAAGCTTTGCTTAAGCTCGCTCATTACTGTTTCCCCCAGGTTCATAGACTTTTTCCCTGGTAAATAGATTTTCACTTGCCTCTCTGCATTTTTCAGATGCCAACAAGGCCAGTGCCAAGTTACATTCAGAGACCAGATTATGCCGATCACCCCTTAGGTAAGTCCTGCATTTTGTGTAGGCTTGAAGACAGCTGCACAGGAGAGGAGTGCTTTTTTTGTAGAAGGCTGTCATTGCTGGACTAGTAATAAATAGACATGCTGTTTGCTTAGGCACATTAGAACATTTAAGAGAATTAGAGACTTCCCTGCCTTTAGAAATCAATCCAGTTCTGTAAACATTCTTATGTCATTGCTAAGCAAATACGGTACTCAGAACTCTACTATAGTCTGTGTTAGCCACTTCTAGATGGAGGACAACAAAAGCAGTTTTGATATTATCCGTTCTTTGTCATCTTATGAAGGAAAAGTGGGTAACAGAGTCCTGAGGTCAAGTCTACCTCAGACTTGGACAGTAGCATGGATGGAGTCAGTAATAATGAGGTGGTAACATAGCCATGAAGAAGGTGGAGTGGCAGGAGGGAGAGGATACCACAGTTTTAACTAAGTTCTTTGCATGTGTTACTCCGTTTAACGTTTCATCATTTTTGAAGTGGGTTCTGTAGTCTTTATTATAGATAATGCTAGGTATGAAGAAAGGTAGTTTGAAATACAGGTCAGTGGAGAGGTCTCTGACTGTAACTTGTACATTAGTCCCTTGTAAATCAGCCTATTACTATCTGAAATTACTTTTCATGTTAAAATAGTTGCATGTCAGTAGCTTCATTTATTATTATTATTGCTGTAATTTTTTTTTTCATTTTGAGATATGGGGGTCTCACCTTGTAGCCTAGGCTGGTTGGCCTCAAACCTGCTCATCCTCCTTTTCTTTCAGATGTTAGAACCAAATCAAGTTCTTCTATACATAGTTTTAAAATTCAGTTCAACCCCTGTTGCTGATAGATGGAGAGAAAAGACAGTCTGAGGATTGTTGAGGACATGGAATCCCATTATTCTCAGTGTCGCACTCTGTTACAGCTAGAGTGTTTTCACCTCCAGAGGAGGGGAAAGGCCCTGCCTTTCCTCTTCTCCAGAATTTTCCCGGCTATTCTTATTTATTTTGTTAGCTTACATTAGTTATACAGAGAGGGGTTTCATGTTCTACCTTTTTTTTTTTTTTTTTTTTTTGGTCTTGTGCCTTGAACTCTGGGCCTGCACACTGTCCCTCAGCTCTTCAGCTCAAGGCTAGCGCTCTACCACTTGAGCCACAGCACCACTTCTGGTTTTCATCATGGTTTATTGGAGATAAGAGTCTCATGGCCTTTCCTGTCTGGGCTGGCTTTGAACCGTGATCCTCAGATCTCAGTCTCCTGAGTAGCTAGGATTACAAGTGTGAGCCACTGGTGCCCAGCTTTTCATGTTCCATTTCTACACGTTTACCTTATGTTCGTATCACTCTCCCTTCTTAGCTACCATTGAGAGTTTATTCTTCTGTATGAAATTATAGCCAGTGTGTGTTCGTTTCCCAAAATAACTTGTTGGCATTTTTATTAGGATAATATTAAGGTTATAGATAAATTTTGTAGGCATTGATACCTTAACAGAGTTAACTTTTTCTATCCAAGAACAGAGTTTGTTTTTCTGTGCCATACAAGGCTTATTTCTCTCAGTGATGTTTTCAGATTTTCTTTCTGAAGATGTTTCACTGTTAAGTTCTTTTGAAGTACTTCCTTTTTACTGTTTTTGTGCATAGTATCTTCAGTAATTTTTAGCTTATTTTATACTGTGGAAAAATTGCTGAATATGTTGTATTTATCTGCTAGCTTTCTGAATTCCAGATGATTGTCTTGTTAAAGGAGCAGATAATCATACTTGAAATTGATAAGGAAATTGTTGTTTCCATTTAAAATTATATGTGTTATATTTTTTTCTTTTGTGTACTGAGACTATTCATATTGCTAGACAGTATGGTAGAGCCAATGGCAGTCATTCTATGGTGGTGATTTCTGGTTTAAGATTTCTTTTCATTGTGTTAGGTTAGTAGATTTTCTGTAGATGATCACTCACTTACCAATCTTGACTCTCCCTGCCTTCTGCTTGAATCTCCATGAGTTAAGGTGTTTGTGGGTTGTTGTTTTTTAATTCTATTTGGTAGCATACTTTTGAACTTTTTCATCAGGGCTTATAAATGAGATTAGTTGATGATTTTTTATGTGTATATATTTAGAGGAGTAGTTGCTACATTAGCTTTATTTCTTTTAAATGTATGAGAAGCTTGAGTTAGGTTAATGAAGGTTATTAGGGCACAATATATTTCAAACTTTTTTGTGATCAGAGTGAGGAATAGATTTTATAACATGAACTGTGTGTATATAAATTAAAAACATCTTACCATGATTTGTATTATAGAATCTAATCATTTCTACTCCACTTCTACTTTAAAATGTTACTTATAGCCCAGGAAGAGGCCATAAACTAGAGTTTGAGAAACATTGATTAGGTTGCTGTTTCAGAAAAATAGTGAAATTGATTGGTTGTTGGTATATAGTTGCTTTGTGAGTACATAGGTACTTGATGAGATGATACTTATGAAGCAGCTGTAAATTGTGTGGTACTGTTCATATTTGAGTCTTTACCACATTGCTTGGTATATATAATAAGTAATCCATAAATATTGATTCCTTTCTGGTAGATTAAAAAATTGGTTCTTTAGATTCTCCCTTCAATTCTTTAGATTTCCTTTACATGTTGAAAATATAAATTTCAAAATAACTAACCTAGATCTAGCAGTGTGTGAGATGACCAGGGATATTATTATGCTAATAAATTCTGTGTCTTTCATTTGTTTTGGTTTTACATACTGACTTTCCATTTCAGGAATGTCTGAATCTGAACAGGCTCTTAAAGGTACTTCTCAGATTAAATTACTTTCCTCTGAAGATATAGAAGGGATGCGACTTGTATGTAGGGTAAGAGTTATTTTTTCCTTGGGGTAGAAGCTGTTCAAACAGTTCTTAGATTTGCTGACTTACAAATGTGTCAAACATTACATTTTCAAACTGTGACTGGCCATACAATAAACTACTGTCTGTATATAACTTCATTTACTGCTGTTTTCTTCTTAAATAGGCTTCTAGGAATTAATATGGCAAGTAGTTTTTGAATTTGGTTGGTAGTTCTTTTTCCCTTTGTGTTTCTTTTTAAAACAACTGTTTTTATAGTATTTTGTTTTCATGGATATCATATTTCGACATAGTTGAAGCTTAGAGTCTTGTGAAATGTCTGAGTATGGTGATACAGATTGGTATTATAATTTTGTAAGGAAAAATAATTGATGCCATATTCTTCACTCAGATGTGATCTTTGTGCTTTTATGCAACACTTTAAAAGTGATTTGATTCTAAATTTTTGTTTATAATCTGGAGAATTTTATATCCCTTTCGCTTTAAAAGTAATTTGATACTAAATTTTTGTTTATAATCTGGAGAACTTTATATCCCTTTCGCTTTACTGTGATTTTATAAGGAAGAACATTCATATATTCTTTTATTTCCCTCTAACCTTTGCCATTATAGAACTGGGAGAAGATCTGCACTATTGTGTAGATAACTTAACATGTCCATTTTCATATGGAAATCATTCAAGCTTACTTATTAGTAAATGAGCTTGGTCCAGTTTTTATGTAAGCCTACGTTCATACATTTACATTTTGTTATGTTTGTGATATATATTAATATGTTCGATGCAAAACATTTTGAAGGCGAAATTAACTTTACCAATTTCCCACAGAATCTAAGATGGTACAGAGGGTAGATTTCTATTTCTCTTTCTTTGAGTGTACTGTTTTCCCCTTTTCCAGCTTGCTAGAGAAGTTTTGGATATTGCTGCTGGCATGATTAAACCAGGTGTCACTACTGAAGAAATCGATCATGCTGTACACTTAGTAAGAATTTTACTTTTTTACTTTGGAAAAAAAATTCAAGTCAGATGTTTCAAGTTTTCAATGTCTAAAGTACCTTGGTTAAGGTAACAAAAGTGACTTTGCTTTGTTTAAAGTATAGAAAGCATTGGGCAGTTATTTCTATCTCTTAAGTTCATTCTCCCTCTGGATGTTCTGTGGTGTCAGCCAGCCACAGATTGAAAATGCCTTTCTTGCCACTACTGTAAACAATAGAGTACGTACGCACACTCTTAGTATTACAAATGATGTAGAAATGATTTTTACAGTGAGGGGCAGAAGTGCCGAGGTAATTTGCAAACAACACACTAATTTTGATGAGACTTGAGAATGTACAGAAGTTGTCACAAAACCAAAAATAATCCCAGAAATCCTAAGAAACGCATAGAAATTCTGTGTGCTGTTGGGAAACACCGTTTTGATATTTGGAACTAGTCCTCCAGCAGTCCTTGCAGTATGGATGATACCTGTGCAGCAGCCAGTGCTGAGCCATCTTCATGTCATAGGTGGGGGCTGAGGTGAGCTGCTATGTATCTGAACCATCAGAACTTCAGTTTCACAAAATGATTAATTTTATTCGTTATTGCTCCCTATATAAAATATTCAGGAAACATTCAGAAATAAAGAATATAACTTTTTAAGTTAGACTTGAAGAGACAGTATTTGCTCCATATCCACAAGCCGAGCCAGTGTACAGATGAGTTACATACTTGTGAAATATGATATAGGGATGTCTTTTTAAAGGTGAGTCCTACTTTGTAGCCCTGGGTGGCCTGTGATCCTCCCGTCTCTGCCTCCCCAGGGCTGAGATTACAGGCATATGTCACTACACCCAGACCACTCCCCCTTGTTTTTTTAAAGATGTTTTTATCTGATGCTAGGTATGAGAATGAAACTGGCTCTTAGGTATTCTCTTGCTCGGTGATAGATTATTGTAAATGGAGAAACCATTGCTGAATGATTTTGATGTCATGTCTTTTTTTTCCCCTTTGTAAAAAATGTTGGCAAGGATTTAATTTAGTGTAACAGGATAAAGTAGAGAGAAATATAAAAAGGGAGTAACATTTCCTGTTCCCCATGCAGGAAATGTGAGTAAAAATGAATTTTTTTTTTGTCGGTCATGGGGCCTGAACTCTGGGGCTGGGCACTATCCCTCAACTCTTCAGCTCAAGGCTCTACCACTTAAGCTACAACGCCACTTCCGACTTTTTCTGCTTATGTGGTACTGAGGAATCGAACCCACGCTCTCATGCATGCAAGGCAAGCTCTACCACTGAGCCACCTTCCCAGCCCCTAAATATGACATTTTAATCCAGAATTCTCTAAGACTTAATATTGATGCAATGTTCATATAAAATGTCGGGATCGTGGGCTGGGAAGGTGGCTCAGTGGTAGAGTGCTTGCCTCGCATGCATGAGGCCCTGGGTTCGATTCCTCAGCACCACATAAGCAAAAAGGAAAAAGCCGGAAGTGGTGCTGTGGCTCAAGTGGTAGAGCGCTAGCCTTGAGCTGAAGAGCTGAGGGACAGCACCCAGGCCCAGAGTTCAAGGCCCACGACCGGACCCAAAAAAAAAAAAAAAAAAAAAATGTCGGGATCGTAGTGAGCACTCTGAAGTGCCTACAATGGGCCAGGCTTCTCATTGAGTGCTTCTTCTGGGTTTACTCATTTGAGGTCCCCAGTAGACTTTGAGATAGGTGCTGGTATCATTTTTATCTTACAGCAGCTCAGATTTCAATTGTCACCCAAGGTTACAGAATGTAGGTGTGATAGAGCTCACAGTTGTAGTCAGCGCAGCTTGTTTGTAAATACTCGATGCTGTGACCCTGCTGTGAGATGTATAGAGAAGCATATCCTAAATATGGAGATGGTTCTTGGTTGTATGACTTTTTAAAATAATTGAGAAAACTTCAAATTAATTATGATTTCTAAAAGTAGAATTGCTAGTAAAATTACAGTGTATTCCACTGGTAGTTTTTATACAACCATTAGAAAAATTTTAGCCTGAGGACTGTGGCAGTGTGGAAACAAATTCTGTGTGCTGTGATTAGCCCTGTGGGAAAACATCAAATAAGTTAGCCTTGTTCTGGAAACTTGATCATGTTGTTTAAGAGGTTCTTTGTTCCATCAAATAGTGTGATTAAAAATGTCTCAGGAAGTACTTTGTCATTTCCTAATTATTCAGGTTTTTGCCTATAGGGATATAGGCTCGTTTTTACATAAAAATTATAATTACATCAAAAATGCTTATTAGTATTTACTTTAAATATTATCTCTTAATATATTTAAGGAGTGTGGTTCATTCTAAAGTAGACTCTTCAAGCTGGGTATTAGTAGTACTGCCTGTATTCCAGTGCTCAGGAAGTTGAGGTAGGAGAATATAAGTTCTAGCTTAGCCTGATCTTCAGAATGAGAACTTGTTTCAAAGAAACAAAAAGAAAAGAAAAATCAACTCATCAAAAAAGTAGAATCTTCATATAGTAATGTGTATATTTAAAACGTGAATTATCTTTTTTCTTTTGTTTTTGGCCAGTCCTGGGGCTTGAACTCAGGGCCTGGGTACTGTCCTTGAACTTCTTGTCCTCAAGGCTAGCGCTCTAGCACCACTTCGGGCTTTTTGTGTTTATGTGGTACTGAGGACTCGAACCCAGGGTTTCATGCATGCTAGATAAGCAGTCTACCACTAAGCCATATTCCCAGGCCAAATTTGCTTTTCTTTTGTGTAAATATTAGTTAAATGGCTAGCAGACACTGCATCTGACTGGTTTAAACCCTGTTATATACTGTTATATTCCAGCCAGATGAGGAAACAGAGGCAGGAGCCTCACTTGAGCTCACGAATTCAAGGGAAACCTGAATAATAAAGGGAGAGAAACCCTGTCTCAAAGTAAAGAACAAAAGTACAAAATTCTCGCCTTCCCTCCTCCCCGCCCCACATATATAAGATACTAAAGATCCCTTAGTATTTTAAGAGAAAACATGCAGTCAATAAGTTCTTTGTAACAGCATCTGTTCAGCTTTTCTCAGTGTTAAAATCTAGTGAATTGCATATCGATATTTTCCTTTTGCACATTCTAAATATTTTCTCTGTGTTTTAATTTATTCCAGGCATGTATTGCAAGAAATTGCTATCCTTCTCCCCTGAATTATTATAATTTCCCAAAGTCTTGTTGTACCTCAGTGAATGAAGTCATCTGCCATGGAATTCCAGACAGACGGCCCTTGCAAGAAGGTGATATCGTTAATGGTAAGAAATATGTAAGTGCAGCCTCGTCACCTTGAGCAAAGAAACAGCCAAAGTTTGGGGAGCTGTTAGACACTTCCCTTTTCCTGACTTGCTTCATTAACTTAACATTTTCTTCTACTCAAATTTGATAGCACTGTGAAATCTGGAGAAACCTTAAAATTTTTTTTTTATGGTTCTGTGCATGTTGATTCTAAGGTATAACAAGCATTATTTTCTCAAGGCCTATCTCATGTAATTAGTAAATAAGTAAAAAATAAGATTACAATGTGAAAGTACTGTTGAATAGAGTGCAGTTATTTTCGTGGCCAGTAATGGTTTTGAAATCATCAAGACAGGCTTCTTACCAGAGAGAGAAACCCTTCATAATAGATGAAGACCTGAAGAGCTCAGAAGCCCTTGAGTGAAATGGCTTTACAGACTTCTGTGCTGTACTGTCTTAGAAGCTTCAAGGCCTTTTCCTGTGACTGAAGAGCAGTATCAATGAAGAAGCTCCACTAGGTGGTTTTTTGTTTTTTTCTTTTTGTGCCAGTACTGGGGCTAGAACTTAGGGCCTGGGCACTGTCCCTGATCTTGCCTTGCTCATGGCTAGTGCTCTACCATTTGAACAGGAGCTCCACTTGTGGCTTTTTGGGGGATAGATTACTGGAAATAAGTGTGGTGGTCTGGACTTTTCTGCCCTGGCTGGCTTTGAACTGTCATCCTCAGATCTTTAGCTTCCTGTATAGATAGGACTGAACTACTGGTGCCCAGCTTTAAATGGCATTTTTTACTATTAATGAAATTAGTATTTTTAGGATCCTAAAGCAATCTGAGGAATTGAGCTTGAGTTAATTCTAACCCAAACGGACCAATTGTGGTGCTGGGTATGAATGACAGAAGAAATTTAACTGTAGCATTATTTTTATTAAAGCTGCTACTGCTTTTAGTTAGTATATCTGTTTGTATAGAGTTCCATAGGTTTTTGAGGTCAACCCTATTTTTTCATGCAAACTTTTTTTTTTATGGTGTTGGGGTTTGAACTAAAGGCCTCTCACTTGCTCAGCTGGTCCTCTACCACATGAGACATGCCTGCAGCCTGGCATTTTCCTGATTCTTTGGAACTGGAGCTTGTGAACTTTTCTGTCTCTACTGGCCTTGAATCACAGTCCCTCTGAATCTCAGCTTCCTGAGTAGCTAAGACTACAGGTATGACTTACTGGGACATGGCTATACCTGTTATTTTTATTACATGTACATTGTATGAGGCTTTTCAGGAATGTGTATGTTGTGCTACTGTATTGGAGGTTGACTACAACAATCATGGTATTAACTGCTGATTTAATGTGCTTTTTAGGTGAATATTTAGTGTACTGTAGTATTAATGTAGTAGTCTGTGTTTTTGTATATAGGGAAGGATGAGTATTCACAAACAAATGAAAGGCAGAGGAGCTTTAACAAAAGAAATGTATGTTAATTTTCCTATCCCAGGAGGAAAACACTTGTTAAAGATAATAAATGAAAATATTATTTTCCATTTAGTGTCAAAATGAAGCAAACTTGTCAATTTAATGTTACCAACTCTATCTTGTGTGATTGTATCCCACATGCATTTTTCTTTGGCCACAAATGGTGTTCTTGAAGAGTATAAAAGCCACCATCTCTCTTGGGCTACTATGTGGCTGTTTCTTCTCTCCATAGTGAGTTTACCTGCACTGCCTGCAAGGAGCCTCTGGTAGATAGTAGCCGTCTGTTCACTGGTGTCTCATTTGAGGATGCAGAAGTTAGCATTTCCTTAAGGGCTTGATGCTGTGCTGGTGGAAAAACTAAGATCTATTTTGAAGTAAAAACAACTGTGGTCTTTCTATTTGCACATTGTTTTGCAGTGGACATCACTCTTTATCGCAACGGTTATCATGGGGACCTGAATGAGACGTTTTTTGTTGGCGATGTTGATGAAGGAGCACGGAAACTAGTTCAGACCACGTATGAGTGCCTGATGCAAGCCATTGATGCAGGTCAGCTTCAGTGTCCTCATCTTTAAATTCAGGCAGGAAGGCATATGAGTGTTAACAAAGGCACAGACCTCGTTCTAGCTTAGTAACTTCCTCTTTATCATGGATCTGTTCTCTTCCTTCCAGTGAAGCCCGGTGTTCGATACAGAGAATTAGGAAACATTATTCAGAAGCACGCCCAAGCAAATGGATTTTCAGTTGTTCGAAGCTATTGTGGGCATGGGATCCACAAGCTTTTTCATACAGCCCCCAACGTTCCCCACTATGCCAGTAAGTGCTTCCCAAAAATTTGGTTATTTTACTTATTGAACAAATATTTTATTCAAACCTAAAAGGGCCTTCTCGTTTGAATTGATTAGAGTAATATATTAACAGGATTCCCAAAATATGTATTCGCTCAAATACAAGTCAAGTTTAGGTCTGGCTTAAATAGCACTCCAGAGTAGGTATGTTTGATCACTGTGCCTCCAGCTCTGTGGCTCTCCAGGTCACTTTGGGAGTGGTCCGTGCAATTCACAGGTAGCGCAGGAGGAGGGGAGAAGATTGGTAAGGGTGCTTGGGAGTGTTACTGAACCAGCTTGGAATTGGCTTATGTTTGTTTTCCATTGGCAAGAGTTCGGTCATATAATTATATCTCACAACAAGGGAGGTTGGGAAATAAAATTCAGCTGCAATTTCTGGAAGAAAAGTAAACCAGTTTTGGCAAATGACAACAGTCTGACATGTGTCTTGCCATCATTATTCTGATTCCTTAGGTGAAATCAGTTCATCTTGCTTGATTTGCTGTGAGCTCTTAGTTCCTGTCATAAACTATATACTATTAATTGGTACAAATGGAGGGGAATAACCAAAGTTGTGTTCTTCAACTTGAAAGATGTATGATAGAAGAGCAAGGGAAAAAGTGTAAGGCCATTAATGTGTTCCAGGAACCATTTCTCTGGAGGTTAGACATGCGCAGGAATAGTGTCATAAGTGCTAAAAGTGAAAGGCCAGGCACTGGTGGCTTAACACTTGTAACCCTAGCTACTCAGGAGGCTGACATCTGAGGATCTTGGTTTGAAGCCAGCCCCGGCAGGAAAATCTGTGAGATTCTTTACCTTTAATTAACCACCAAAGAAAGCTGCAAGTGGAGCTGTGGATCAAGAGGTAGAGTGATAGCCTTGAGCAAATAAGCTCAGGGATAGCCCCTAGGCCCGAGTCCAAGCCCCAGGATCAACACATAAGTTAGGTAGGAAGGAATTTCACACATGCAAGTGCACATTCACAAACACAGCTTGCGCCACTGTGATGTGTCAGTCTTCACGCTCTCCCTGTCCTTGTTTTTTCACCTGTGTAAATGGGGAATGGCACCTGTAGTAGAATTGCCAAGAGGACGGTGAATCCATGAGAAGGACTTAGAACTCTATAGGACAACAGCTCATGACCTGATGTTCACTTTTATCATGACAGTGATGATGGCAGGCATTATCTCATTTGATCATCATAACCCCAATCCCAACTCTGAGTAATTTCTCATCCCTCTGTTTCTTTGTGCTTTCTGGTGCTACACCAATGCTAAGACCACCTGCATGTTAGGCAAGTGCTCTCCCACTGAGCTACATCTCCAGCTCCTCTCAGCCTCAGTTGTAAAAGCAGATCTTCTGCTAACAGGCAGTTTGTTTGTTCAAAGTCATGCAGTCAATAATTATTTGCCAGAGCTAGGGTTGGTCCTAAGTTATGGAGTCATTGTTCTATGTTTCATGCTTTTCAGTAAGAACTACAGTAGTAGGGCACTACATCCTGGAAAATAACAGAAGTGTGGCTTCAACTTTGGTTTGCTAGAGGAGATGAGAAGCACTCTAGGTGAAGGAAAGCCTGAGTAGGTGCATCCAGCAGAGACCAACAGACAAGCTAGGCTTGGCTGAGTGTCTGTTTTGATGCCTGGCCTGGGCAGTGCTGGCTGTGAGGAAGGCTAGACAGGGAAGTCTGACTTCATTTCTGGGCATCTTCAGGAATGTTTTAGGGCAGAAGAGTAGCATAATGAAGCTGATAGTCTGGGAAGACTAACTTGGGCAGTGGTGTCTAGGATATATTGCAGATGGAAGCCGTGCAGGAGAGGTAGCCTGCTAGGCAGTTGTTGCAGTAGTCCAGGGATGAAGTGGTAAAATCCTGGCTGTCGATGGCTTTGAAGAGAAAGTGGAACAGGTGAGAAACCTGCAGGAGAAGCAGTCTCGTGCTGCACAGCAGCTGGTGAGGATCGGTACGCGCTCACTCGCAGACTGCATCCATCCTCTGAGTTACGCTTTAGAGTGTGCAGCCAGCTGAACAGATGCTCTGGGATAAAAGGTTAAAGGTGCCATCAATCTTAATAAGTTTCTGTAGTTACACAACAAAAAGCTAGGTCAGAAAGCATGTAGCTGACTTCATTCCTGTCTCTAAAGCTCTGATGACCTGAACACTCCCTTTTACAAACTAAGAACCTGCTCTGAATATGGTGGTGGCAGCGGCTGTGGTGGCGGCAGGTATAAGAGAAATGTGGAGGGGGTGGGAATGAAAATCATTACCCTCACATTCAATGGCAACAAAACTGGACACAGGAGCATTTGTGGGGAAAAAGGGAGGGGGCAGTGCAGTGATGTCACAGAATTTAATGTCATTAATGTACAAGAGCTACCATTGGGTTTCATCATTAGATATAGAAAAATGCTAAAAAAAAAAAAAACCCCAATAACAACCAAGAAACAGGGCGGATATACTTCATTTTATACATTTGATATGTTTATGAAAGGTCAAGTGTAAACCAAATTTGTATGTATTACAATTACTTACAGAAATATTCAAGGAAGCTGTGTGTGTGTGTGTGTGTGCGCGCGCGTGTGTGTGTGTGGCAGAATTATTTTTTGAAATTGAATCTGTTTTGGTTTGTGCAGCAAAAATTTTTTTGGTCATAGGGTTTGAACACTGTCCCTGAACTCTTGGGCTCAAGGCGAGTGCTCTACCATTTGAGCCACAGCATTACTTCCTTGGTTTGTATTCTATTTACCCAAGTGAAGGAGGAATCAGGATATTGTTGAATAACTTTCCTTCCGGAGATTATTAGATGAATTTATTTGCTGCTTACTTACGTCATTGGTGATGAAAGTAATGACCATAACAGCCATCACATTTGCAGTGTACATAACAGATAATAGAGTAGGTCCACATTTAATGAAGTCTTAGGCACACTCTGCAGCATTACAGTTCTGCAGATAATGTGAATTTGTTGAGTGAGATACTTTGGGAAATGGAAACTTTTAAGATTCTGAGAGATGAAGAGGAGTTGTAACTTTGCCAGAATACTAATGAGTCAGTTATAGAATGTTCTGGAATGTAGGCTTTGTATGTCAGCACTGTCTCACAGAAGTAGAAGATGAGGTATAATTTAAATTTCTAGTAGCCAAATTAAAAAGCACAGTATATGAATTGAACTCAAAATTTAGTACCCAAAATTTTCTCTTTGATTCTCAAGGGAATATGACTGATTCTGTATATATGAGTTGCATGTCATCATGAGAGCAAGTGCATGAGATTACAATGAGCAGTCTACCTTTACTTAGTGCTTGCTTTGGAGGATGCTTGTGAATTTAGAAGGTGGATTTGGAATCTGCAGTGAATATGTTTTGGCATAACCTCAGGCACTGGAAAGCAGCATGGTGGCTGCCTGTGAGGAGGCCTCCCCAGACTCATTGGCCATTCATTAAGTCAAGGTCCTGACTGCCAACACCTCCTGGAAATGCTGCCATCTGGTGGTTGGACTGAGCAGATGCCTCCATTCATTTATCTGATAACTTACCGATCAGCTCTTCGTCTTTAATTTGAAATTTAAAGTAGTTCTTCAGTTTTGTCTGAGATTGACTCAACAGGCCGATTCCTATTTTTAATTTTTTTGGCCTTTTTTGGAGGATGGTATCTGAAATCTAGCCTATGGACCTCTATTTTAATGTAGAAAACATAAGCAGAATGAAATGTGCCTAGAACAGTATCTGTCCCCAGATTGATGGTAAGGCCACTTAACTTCTGTACTCTTTCTTCTGAGCTGTTCAAGGGTGTGGGGCTGGCTTTCAATCTTTTTTTTTTTTTTAACTTTTATTTCAGAAAATAAAGCAGTTGGAGTGATGAAGTCAGGCCACGTGTTTACAATTGAACCAATGATTTGTGAAGGTGAGAATAAAAAACAATGCTGTCATTATTTTATTAATCTTTGGTTAGTCATTAGCATGGTTCTGCTCTACTGGCTTCTTTTGCTTCATTGCATGCCTTATCCCATTGGGACAAGCTTGGGTATTGTGCAGAGAACTGAAAATTCACAGGGTTGATAAGAAGATGCTAAATTTGCTGTTTGTAGGAGCCAAATGCTTCATTTCTCTCCCTCTTCAGAAAGTCCTTGTGGGAGGAGGAGGGGTTGTAATTAAAAGCCTACATCAGGCCTGTGGAGAAGTTCTTGTTTAGCGTAGGAGGGGATAGAAGAGAACAAAGGAAGAGCAATTGAGCCACGAGCTGGTGGCTCAGGTTTGTAATCCTAGTTACCTCAGGCAGCTGAGACCTGAGGATCGAAGTTCAAAGCCAGCGCAGGCAGGAAAGTCTGAGACTGTCTAATCAGCCACCAAAATATGAGAAGTATAGCTGTGGCTCAAAAGTGATAGAACACTAGCCTTGAGCGAAAAACAGCTCAGGAAGAATGCCTAAGCCCCGAGTCCAAGTTCTATGACCTACCAAAAAAAAGGGAAAACATATGTTGATCCACGCATTTTGATGCAGACAGAGATAAATGACTTATTTTCCCACTATTTCTGGCAAGGTGTTATCCCTGTTACACAGATGAATAAACTAAAGAGAGTAACTCAGTCAAGTTGCCTCTGTGGTAAGATTATAAATGTGAATTACTGGTATCCAGCAAAGTCAACGTCCTACTCATATATGCTGATTTGTAGTGATCTGTTTTCAGTGCCTTTATTTTGGACATACATCTGGATTTGTTTCACTTTTATTAAACGTGTTATGACACACTTAAGTTTAGACATCACCGTTACATCATTGGTACTAAAGACAAGACCGAAGTTGGAAAGGCTTTAGCTAAAAACAAAAGTATCAGTAGAAATGTTAATAGTGAATTATCTAATAGGTTTTCTTCTTGGTAGGTGCTTCCCTGTGGAGTTCATTGAGAAAATGGAAGGGTCAGACTAAGAACATGCTTTTGTTTATTTAAGGTGGATGGCAGGATGAAACCTGGCCTGATGGTTGGACTGCGGTGACGCGAGATGGGAAGCGGTCTGCTCAGTTTGAACACACCCTGCTGGTCACGGACACTGGCTGTGAAATCCTAACCCGGAGGCTCGACAGCGCGCGGCCTCACTTCATGTCCCAGTTTTAATTTGCCACGATGGCACTTTCTTACTGTACTGTGCGTTTTATTGAGAGTACAGAAAGGAAGAGGCAGTTTTCTTTTTTTGGTTTTTAAATCACTTGTTTTGACAGTAATCAGAAAGGACTACAGCATTTGGTGTGTGTCCTCAAGAGTTTGTCTTGGATCTGAAAAAGCTGAGAAGAATCAAGGAAATATTGCTCAACTCCTTTCAGTGCCCACAAGCCCAGTCCTCCCCGCAGCCCTGCTCACCACTTTCTTGTTTGCCCCTTGAGCACTTTTACTTAAACCTGCTTCTAGTTGCTTTTATCACTGCCACAAACTGGCCATCCAGAGCCAGCTGCTTTCCAGGTGAATGTTGAAGATGAGAATCCTTGAAAACAGCAACACAAATTGTACCAGATTTTTTAAAATTATATATGTGAGAAAACATATGCATACCTTTTAAACTCCATATATGTAATTACTGAACACTATGTGACCTTTGATTTGGGTTGATTCTGCTCTGACAGGATTATTTGATATCCTAATGGGTCTGTAGTTTTTATAGTGATTTAATTCCTAGTTGGGAATTGGCTTCTTCCTCCCCATGCTAATTATTTACCCTCGTTCTTGTGTGTTGGGAAGCCCTCACTCAGTGAGGCTCTCTCTCCAGCGTGGACTCTGTCAGTGATGAACGATGAACATTCACTTTGGAAGGAGGTTGTCAGGTTTCTTAACATCTAGAGGGCAGAAGTAACCACACGCCAGGTGGTGGTTGGCTGTTGTAGGGCATGAGGATTTTGTAATACACAGTGATTTCAAACTTCCATTGGTCAAAAATAGGCAGGAAGCCGCCTGTTTTTTCAAGGGCATGCCTTGAAGATGCACAGAGAAGGCCGATGGGTGCACTGTGGGATGATGGGAAAGCTGTGGTGGCCTTCTATGAGCACAGTGAGTTAGGTGTTCTGGGCATTAGACCTGGTGATGGTGAAAAGGAACCTGTTAAGTACTGTGGCTGTGCCTGGTGTGCTGAAGCCCACGTCCTACACACATCGTTGAGCAAGCTCCTCATTAGAAATGCCTCAGCTGCCTGAAACCTATGTTCCTTCTAGCAGTTGTCCAAATAGAAGTGTATCCGTTAAGACATATCAGATCATAAAGTCATTGTCATTAGAGTCTCCTTGACTACTGAGTACCGATGACTTGACCCATTACACTTATAGGAGATCATCTTTCCCAGAGTGCCTCAGACCTTATTGCTTTAAGAGAATTATGATAATGTTTTCATTACTTTTATTGTTTAAATGATTTAGTAAAGTGACTGAATCTGGTATAGACTTTCTGGGGGTATGTGTGTGAAGTTTTTAAAAACTTTAATATTTGTGAATGGAATGCCTTGTAATATGAATGTTAATATGTGTAAAGGGAGATTAAAAGTTTGAATGATTATCCCTTCACATCATGGTCATCTTTGCTGCATGTTTGGGATTTCAGAGGGAGCTGAGTGAGAGGGGATTCTGACAGGGGCGAGGTGGGGGAGATGGTCCAGGAGCCATAGTCATGACATTTTGTGTTAGGTGTCTGTAGTCTTCTTACAGTAATCTACCCTCTGCCTCCTTTTTTGTGGTATTTTATGGAATGACCCTTAAAAAAATCAGTTGGCTTGTAAGTTTAATGGTCATGAAGACATGGGATAAGCATTTGGACAGAAGACTGCGTAGACAACAGGTTGTATTTACTACTCATTACATCTCATGAAGGTACATGTTGGTGTCACATTATTCCTAATGCTGTTCGATCATTGGGGTCATTCAGATCTTTCAATTGTATAAGTACCTTTTTTTCCCCCGGGACTTGGGAGACATTTGGTATCATTCATGCAGGGATGTCCCTGCATTTATGATATGCATTTATGATAACCCTTGCTGAGATCCACTACTTTGCTACATTGGGCTACCGGCATTTTCTAAGTCTAGCATTAAATCTGTATTTATTACCTGACACTCTTTCACTTAAGTGCCTCTTTCCCCTTTTTAAGAATCAGTGTGGAATCATGGAGTTTTAAAAATTCTTATTCTACATTTGGCCAGTGGGAAGTCTCTTTGAGCTAGTTGGTGGGTTATTTTATATCATGAATACTTTCTTGCTTTTGTCATAGCAAGATATAGGTTGATTATGTATTTTTCCTGCCCCACACTGAGAATTGGTTTCTTTGTATGGAGAATGGTGTTTGGAAATCAAGACCTGAGTTCACCTGGGGACTCAGTGTACATAGGTACAGTGTATTTTTTAAATTTTTTTGTAATAAAATTTTATTTGCAACTGTAAGTACCCAAAGATCAAAGTAAAAAAACAAAAACAAAACAAAAAGTAAACATAAACAACCAGCAATATCTATCTTCTTGCTTACTCTAATGGCCAAAGGGAAATTCTACTGAATGTCAAATTAAGGATGACTGCACTCAGAGGCTAAAGGGCCTTGCTACTGCTCAGGCAGGTGTTAGCCTTGTTGAAGGGACTCATCTGTGACTTTCCTACTTAATGGGCTGCTGATCATAACTGACTTTTTATGCATAGTGTATTACCTAGAAATATTCTTAAGAAATCCCAAATACATTCTGATACACTTTAGATTACACACTGATCTCTCTTCCCTATAGTTAACATGCAGTTAACATTTCTCTCTTCCTTTTCTGAGAACTTTTGTTTTCAAACAATAACAGATTATCAGCTTTGGAGGAAATTGGTCATTGTCTTTAGAACATATGTGAGATAAGTTTCATCTCCTTTGTATTCTAAGTTTCATAAACCACGAGCCAGTTTTTATTTCTTGTTTTTAAATTGTGAATCTTAGGGGTAAACCATAGAGAAGAGGCAAAGAGAATATTGTAGTCTGGAGTTAGAAATAGTGGGGCTCTCATCTATCAAGCTTTTAGCTCAGAAGGAGTAAATGACCACTTTGTAACATGGCTTGTTTCCCAATTCCTTCATATTAGAAAATAACATCTGCCCATAATTGTTCTCGGAACAGTTTGTTTCAGAACGTAGGCTGCCCTGGACTAACAAAATGTGTTTTCATTTTGAAGGGGAGCATCCAAGGAAAGGTTAGAGTGGTAGCCCAGGATCCATGCATGGCAGCCCCTGGCTTGTGCTTGAGTTCTTGGGCAAGCTGCCTTGCGGGGATGCTGTGTGTGGCAGGCTCCTCCATCGCCTCGTTTTTCCTCGCTTCTGGACAGTGCTAAGTTTGAAAAAGAAAAACACGCTTGCATTTGGATGCATTGCAAGAGAAAGCAGGAAGTAGATGGCCTTGGCTACAATTTCTCTGCTGCTTTTCATTTTGGGAACTGAACAACAAAACCGCTTGTTTATGGCATTTGTGTGGTTATTTAATAAAATGTTCCAAAACATCACTATGTGGAACACTCAAAAACAGTCCCTTGTAAAATTTCCACTTCTTACTGATGTGTTAGAAGCTTCAGGTATTTTGGTAGTATCTTCTGTGGAAATTTCTATGATGTCCAGCCTTTGTACTCTAAGGTTTTATTGTAAAATTACTTCCATCATTGGAGTGATGAGATTCTCAGTGCTATTACTAGTATTCTGCCTTAGTTATCCTACTACTAACTACAGATGGGTGCAAAGGAAGCTTTTTCCAAAACCTGTACACACAGTTGTATCGCAGTGTTTCTAGACGGATCTGATATCTACCATTTTTAAGTGATTGCATGATTAGGACAATTGCACTTATCAGTCGAGGGCTTCTTGTGCACTGATACCACAACTTTATATATATTATAAACCAAACTTTTCTTTAGTATTTCAAGTCCTCTTAATGTACTTGAGCCTTGAGTGGTTCTGAGAAAATACACCAAAGAACTTTAGTAGACCAATATATTTTAAAGCACAGTTCTGCTGTTTTTTTTAAATCTTGTCCAGCACATCTATTTTTGGCAGTCAAGAGAGTATTTCAGCAGGGTGCAGTGGCTATAATCCTAGCAATTCAGGAGGTAGAAACTGGAAGGGGATAGTGGTTTGAGGCCAGCCTGGACAAAAGTTTGCAGGACCAGTAGCTGAGCATGGTGGTTCATGCCTGTCATTCCAGTTCCATAGGAAGCTGTGATTGGGAGGATCATTGTTTCAGGTCAGACTCAATGAAGTTCATGAGCCCTATCTCAACAGAAAAAGCTGGGTGTGGTGGATCATAGTCCAGGCTAGCTCAAGCCAAAAGCCATGGCTTAAATGATACAGTACCTTTCTAACAAGCATAAAATCTAAATTCTAACATGCATATGTGTGTGTATACATATTGTAGTACATGTTTGAACTGGAGTTAATATGTGCATGTTTAACTCATACACTTTGAATTGTTAACTTTCCAGTTGATAAAAATCAATCTGTTTAAGAGCCCAGCCATTTCAACTACTTTGCTGCCATAATCTTGTGTTATGGAGAACAATGTGTAAACCCTGTCTACTTGGTAAGATCCAGTGCCCTTGATACAGTTTTATGCATTACCAAAGTAGCTTAAATACATTAATATTTGATCAAAAGTTTTGTGGTACATTTTTTCTAAAAGCAATTGCTGACAATCTGATCTTGCATGTTAATTAAAACCAACTGGTTGAATTCAAAATCAGTCCTCCTGGGTTCGCATTGTTTCTAGGCCTACAGAACTGTCAGTCACTTCAGGACACTGACCTTCAACTTGCTGGGCAGGTGGGTAGCCAAATAGAGAAAGCTCTTACTTACGAGCCTTCCAAGCATGGAAAATGTTCTCCTTCCCCAGATCTACACAATGGGGAGAATTAATATCTAAATATAATCCTACAGTCAAGTCTCATGCATTATCCCTCTGGGTCACCACTTCCATGGACCTCCTGTATGCAAGACTGCTTTGCTGGAAATTCTTGAATGTTTTGATTTGGGATTAGGAGACTCATTTCACATGCAAAGAACACTTCAGAACTTTCATCTGCTTGGCTGCCAGTCTTGCTGAGCGTTGAATAAAGAGCTTGTAACTTCCTCCAGCAAGCATTGTATTACGAGGTTGGCCAAACAGAAAATAGGACAGCTAAAAATGGAAATGTAGGCAAGATTTGAAAAATGTTAGGCATATGGAAATTTACCAACTAAATGTCGTGAAGATGCCTTAAGTTCCTAACAGTGCAAAATTTTAGATCCTTAAAAATCACTCGCTTTCATGAAATACACAATGACAGCATCTTTTTGAAATTACATTTCTTAGTCAAGGAAAGTTTGAAGATACTTTCAAAAATTTCCCCACAACCCTGTCAAAGTGGTAGAATCCCAATTTAAGACATAGAATTTAAGGACAGAAGTGGTAACTGGCACACATGAATAGTTTTTAGTCTTGTGCTCTTTCAGTACTTTGTTGCAAAAACTGCTTGGTTCAGCAACATACACAAGATGTATTAAAAAGGATCTTAAAGACTCTTTTACACCTCTACTTGAGGTCTCTAATCCAAGAATCCTGAGTAATGTAAACCTGCTTCCTCATGCTAGATCTTGAACTTTTCAGCCAGAAATGTTAATACTTGTTAAAACCAACTGACTGGCTCAAGAGTATATACTTGTACCTATAAGTAAGTTGGTCAGTTTTATATATATATATATGTTATACATGATTGGAGTAGCACTGTTGAGAATCTTTTTCATATTTGTGAACCCAAAAATACATGTTGCTTTTAGTCATATAGGAAAACATGGCCTTTTTTTTTTTTAATTAAAAAGGTGACTGGTGTCGAATGCCTGTAATCACAACACTGGGGCTGCAGAGGCAGGAGGTTGAGTTTGAGGACAGTCTGGGCTATATAATGACACTTGGTTTCAACTGCAACACTGTCTCTTCTCTGTTCACTTTATGGAATGTAAATAAAGGAGGTTAGCCGTGAGAATGAGCACAGCATAAAAATAGGTGACAACAGCACAGAAAGGTAGAAATCATTTTTATTGTTTTAAAAATATTCCTTAAGCTAGCAGTGATTTATGTGAAGCATCTAGAAAATAGATTTGTGACTGTTACTAGCTTTTGCCCTTGATTACAGAGACTTTCAAGTTACTTCCACATACGGGAACATCGCTGTTTCTTATAGAATTGCTCTATGTTGATGAAGCCAAGAACTTGAAAGGTCTCCCATCACGTTACAGGATAGGAACACGATGGTCAGTTTCTCTTGGACCTAAATCTTTACGACAGTTCGAATGCTGTAAAGAAGGAAGCAATAAACAGATGTGAATGATGAACATTTGCTATATGACTACTAATGCTATATTTCTTTTGATCCTCCAACCCCATCAGCCCCAAGCCATTATTACATACTAGAATGTGGATCTAGAGAGAGCTTACCTCTTCCCTGAATGCATCAGTTCAAAGGCTTGATTAATTTGGTTGAAGGGCAGATTTCCAGTCACAAACTCATCAACTTTTATCTTTTTA